TGTGTGTGTGTGTGTGTGTGTGTGTGTTCATACGAAATGTTGTTCAACAAGGATTTGAGGTTTTTGTTTGTAGATTACTGTTTAAATTTTAAATTGGAGAAGAAAAAGACGCAGATACTATATATTTTTCTTCTTTCTGTCGCCTTTCATTTGTATTTGTGATTTGTATTTTTATTGTACATAATTTTTTGTTGTTTTTAAAGAATTTACTAAATAAATAACATTATTTGGCTACTTAGCCAACTGTAACGGAGTACATGAAGTCATAATGTGACAGTAAAACGTAGAAATGTCAGTGTTAGGCCTACACGTAATACTCACTTGGTTTCTGTATGCAGTACAGATTAGTCTAAACATTATCTTACATAAACAAAACGTTTGCTGAATTAGCTTTGTTAGCGTGCTAGCTTAGCGGGTAACTAAATGAAACGTGGCCCAAGTAAAATAATGGCATCAAACAATGCGCATCTCTGCTATCTCGTATTAAAGTTGTAGGCATAAAATCTTACCTCTGCGTATGTATTTATTTTCTTCTTTGTCATCCACTTTCGATGTAGTCACGTACTGCTACRGTTGTGTTTGCGCSAGRCTATGGCAAGCCGTTGGGGTCATAAATCGGGCGTACATTTACGTGCAAATCCGAACGCGCGGTGGCGCCACCGCGCGGTGCCGTAAATAACGCGCGCCAACGGCTTGCCATACCAGGCCAGCTGTGCGCATGCGCTGTACTTTCAGAGCGGCAACTCATCCTTCCTGACTGGAGCCTGAGCCTCCTTTTGTCTGTGAATTTTYATGTTACAGTGAAACTTTCAGCTCTGAACGAGTCAACCTTCCTTTTCTTGGGTTTTGCGCACATTGAATAAGAGGAATGAGACTACTGCTACGGTTTTATTTTTGTGCAGAAATACCGTACTCACGTTTGATGAGCCAACATCGCCATCTGCAGCCAGTTGCCGGTATAGCTATCATGTAGACTGGTTTCCRTTTTTGATTTACTATTTTTTAAGTGCCAAACAAGTTTACAGTTTTTATTTGGTTTATGAAAAAAATCTGAGGTTTGCATTTTGTCTTGATATATTTCTACTCTTTGGAGTATTTCACTGACATATGTTGTTTAACGTTTTATTTAATTTACCAAAAATAAAAAAATAAAACATCGAAGTGCATATTTTTGTTTTAACAAATTCAAAGTGCTTTGCTTGACCACATAGTCCACACTCTGACCTTTATTCAGCTTGTTAAGAACACATTTAAACATTTTTGTAATTTAGCTTAATACTAGATACATTAGTGTCCGATCCTGGTCATTGAGGGCCATTATCCTGCGTGTTTTAGTTGTTTCACTGCTCTTTAGCAGGTCTTCAAGTTCTGCAAAAGCCTGCTGATCAATCATTCATTCGAATCAGCTGTTAAAACAGAGAAACATTTAAAACCTGCAGGTTTAGTGGCCCTCGAGGGCCAGGAACAGACACCTCTGTACGAGAAGTTACAGATTTTCAGGTTTCAAACAGCTCCTTGAAGCCCGGACCGATCTCCTGGATCATGTCTGAGGTGGTGGTAGACCTGCCGTGTCGATGAAATGCTTGTCTGTTGCAGTGTCTGGTGAGTGAACAGGCTCCGAATGCTGCAACCACTGATGGATTCATTCTGAAAGAAAGTGAGAGTTATGTGTTAGGAGACACAAACCCTACAATTACTAGACACATTTCTGTCTGATGCTTTGTTTACATTTAGATTTTTCACAATCATCAGTTACACATGTAATACTGTAATTGTCACCTGCTTTCATGAGAGCAGGTGGTTTTGTGTATGCCTGTGTGAGTTTATGTTAGCTAAATACTTCATGAAACACTGGATGGATTCGAATGAAACTCTTGAAAAGTGATTAGTGGATGACCACCTAACTGATTACATTTTGAAGTCCTCTCAAATCTACAGTGGGGAGATCAAGTATTTGATACACTGTTGATTTTTCAGGTTTTCCCACTTGCAAAGCTTGTAGATGACTGTAATTTTTATCATAGGTACTCTTCAACTGTGAGTGATGGAATCTAAAACAAAAATCCAGCAAAATACAATGTATGATTTTTAAATAATTAATTTCCATTTTATTGTGTGAAATAAGTATTTGATCATCTGTCAACCAGTAAGAGTTTTGACTCTCACAGACATGTTAGTTCTTCTTTAAGAAGACCTCCTGTTCTCCACTCATTCCCTGTATTAACTGCACCTGTTTGAACTCGTTACCTGTATAAAAGACACCTGTCCACACACTCAATCAGACTCCAGCATCTCCACAATGCCCAAGACCAGAGAGCTGTGTAAGGACATCAGGGATAAAATTGTAGACCTGCACAAGGCTGGGATGGGCTACAGGACAATGGGCAAGCAGCTTGGTGAGAAGGCAACAACAGTTGGTGCAATTATTAGAAAATGGAAGAAATACAAAATAACRGAAAATCTCCCTCGGTCTGGGGCGCCATGCAAGATCTCACCTCGTGGAGCATCATTGATCTTGAGGAAGGTGAGGAATGAGCCCAGAACTACACGGCAGGACCTGGTCAATGACCTGAATAGAGCTGGGACCACAGTCTCAAAGAAAACAATCACTAACACTCAACGCCGTCAAGGATTAAAATCCTGCAGTGCACGCAAGGTGCCCTTCCTCAAGCCAACGCATGTCAAAGCCCGTCTGATGTTTGCAAATGACCATCTGAATGATCCAGAGGAGGAATGGGAGAAGGTCATGTGGTCTGATGAGACAAAAATAGAACTTTTTGGTTTAAACTCCACTCGTCATGTTTGGAGGAAGAAGAATGATGAGTACAACCCCAAGAACACCATCCCAACCGTGAAGCATGGCGGTGGGAACATCATTCTTTGGGGATGCTTTTCTGCAAAGGGGACAGGACGACTGCACCATATTGTGGGAAGGATGGATGGGGCCATGTATCGTGAGATTTTGGCCAACAACCTCCTTCCCTCAGTAAGAGCACTGAAGATGGGTCGTGGCTGGGTCTTCCAGCATGATAACGACCCAAAACACACAGCCAGGGCAACTAAAGAGTGGCTCCGTAGGAAACATCTTAAGGTCCTGGAGTGGCCTAGCCAGTCTCCAGACCTGAATCCAATAGAAAATCTTTGGAGGGAGCTTAAAGTCCGTGTGGCCCAGCGACAGTCCCGAAACCTGAAGGCTCTGGAGGAGATCTGTATGGAGGAGTGGGCCAAAATCCCTGCTGCAGTGTGTGCAAACCTGGTCAAGAACTACAGGAAACGTCTGATCTCTGTAATTGCAAACAAAGGTTTCTGTACGAAATATTAAGTTTCATTTTTCTGGTGTATCAAATACTTATTTCACACAATAAAATGGAAATTAATTATTTAAAAATCATACATTGTATTTTTCTGGATTTTTGTTTTAGATTCCATCACTCACAGTTGAAGAGTACCTATGATAAAAATTACAGTCATCTACAAGCTTTGCAAGTGGGAAAACCTGAAAAATCAACAGTGTATCAAATACTTGTTCTCCCCACTGTAGAAGTCTACTACAACCAACTGGCCTTRGAAAATACAAAAATGGCCGAAGCTCAGTCAATTTTACAGATGAAGCTAAACTTTGATGTGGTAGTAGCTGAGAGTCACCCCCAACACATGTTCAAAGCACTAAGAGCTCGCTCAAGATCTTTGAAAATTTCAGCATGTAATGTAGGGCAATACACCTTTCTTCAAGGAATGCTATTTTCACTATATTTACTTGTCGTAATAACATAAAACTTTAAAGTCAGAGGTCTTCTCACCCTCTGATCCCTCCTGCTGCTGAAGCAGAATGAGCCCAGTGGGCCAGGACTCCCATAGATCCGGACAGGAGATCACCCTGTCCACCACATCTTCTCCCACTGCCTTCAACACTACACGAGTACACTACAAACACAACACAAAGTCACAAAAAAGATGCTTCATAGCTTCGTGGAGATTTCGCCACTGAAAATAAAAGTCAGTGTGTTTGATACCAACCCTTGCTGCCGTCTGAAATGAGGTCCTGTTCGCCCTTTAGCACGAGCGTGACGTTACCCATCGTTTGGCTGAGCTGCATGACGCTGCACGGATGATCACTGCTGTTCATGGGCTCACGGTGCTRAAAACAACACGAGAAGCTACATCAGCAAAACGAATTACATCAAACGCCACGAACTACTGACTAACAGAACTCCACCTAAATAAACCCACCAGTGCCTGAAACAGTCGAGTGAACTCCATGAAGTTAGGCGTGAGGATACCCTTCTGGTACCCCTGGATGACAGATGGTTGTTGCGTAACGAGCCATAATCCATCCTGTTGAAAAACAACCAACGCTTGAATGACCCTGCACAAAGAAGCTCATGTGTTCAACAGCTAAAACTTGAATTTATTCAACACTTACTGCATCAATAACTATAGGAATATCTCTTGCTTTAGACCGCTCGATCACTTCCTGAAAGAGACAAAAAACTATTCATCTTTTTGTCCAAAACATGCATTGCTCTCAGGTGTTTTTATATGCAAACTAAGGTTGTTCTGTCTCACAAAGTTGAAAAATTAAATATGTGAATCTTCTTTTATCACAAAATAACATTCATTCTTCTTCGTTGCTTATCAGGTCATAAAAGCAACAAATCTAGGAGAGACATGTCTCTCCCTGGTGACACTCTCCAGTTCCTCCTGGGGGATATCCATTCTCTGGTCCCCCTTTTAAAAAATGAAACCACCACCCCAGTCTGCTACTCTGCAAAACCATGACAGACCCAAAACATCAAAAGACTTTAGCGTCACGAGCAAATCTTGTCCACACCTGATGCTCTGCCACCGGGGAGCTTTTTGACCCCTATGACCTCTGGCATCGTTATGGACTCATCTTCCCACAAGTCCTCAAAACAGAAGCTATGTTTACACGCACAAAATTTTTTGATCAGATTGAAATGTATTCAAATTAAATAATCCGAATGTACTGTTTACATGGACACAATCCGATCATGACAAGTGTTTACACGCACTGGACTTTTATTCAGAATAATATGCGCAGTGTTGTAAACCTTCAGCTCTACTTCCGTGTAACGTAAACAAAGCTCTTCGGTGCGCTCAGGATGGATTCGTGTCAGCTTTTAATAACGGGAGAGACGTCGTTACTCCTCGGCTGAGCTGCAGATGAAGCAATACGTGTTTTTTATTTATTTATTTTTTGCGAAGCAACATCTGCTGTTTGTCTCCTTTTTTAATCTGTTAAGAGAGCAAGGAGGAAAAGTTCTGCGCGGTGCAGCGCAGCTGGAAACTACAGCGCTGCTGCCCCGCCTCCTCTAAAGAGCAGAAAGTCAGCAGACATGCGCACTCAGGTCAGTTTTCCACAATCAGAATAAGATGATCTGATTGTTTACATGAACGTCATTCCGATTATCAATCGGCATAACCCATCCTTCTCATTTGGATTAAAAATTTATTCGGATCGAGCTCAATCGGACCAGAATAATCCAAACGGGCTGTTTACATAAGCATTTTTATTCCGAATGACCGTTTAATCCAATTACTTATGTCCATGTAAACGTAGCTAGTGCGGCTGAGTTTGTTAATCTAGTTTATTGGTTATATACTAGTAGTTAGTTTCTCCTTTTTTTCCCCCTTTTTCCTCAGACAAATATCTTCCACCTGCCTTGGCCGTTTTCAGTAAAGATTCTTCTCTGCCCAGACCTGGTCCCACAACAAGGCTGTGAAGTCGTGGGAGCCACTTTTCGATTTCCTCCACTGCGTTCGGACTGTCCCTAAATACACACAAGGTGACACGTCACAGGTGTTTTTTGGAAAAATTTAAAACAATAAAATCATTTTCTGCAAATTCTACACAATATTCTGAAGAAAACTGCAAAATTCTACATGCTCTGTCAAAATGGCACTTAATTACTAATCAGTGTGGGTTTGTACTTACAGAACAGGGTGCACTATAAGCTCAGGGCTGTACGATTTGATTACAGTCGCAGCATCTTTAGTGCAGAACACATGAGACAGGTCAGCACCCTGGAAAAAAAGAATGCTGTTGACTTTGACTCAAAACTTGACTGTATAATATTAAAGTAAGGCTTCAGCTCACCACTTTGAGCGCAGAAATGGCAGCAAAGTAAGGAGCTCCGGTGTAGCTTTAAAGAGAATAATAATAACAATAATAACAATAATAATAATAATAATAATAAAGGATTTAGGGTTAATGGGCCTCATGCAAAAACCGTTCGTACGCACAGATTTGTTCTTAAGTTGTGTGTACAAGTGATTTGGGAGAATTTGTGGCATTCACCAATGTTTTCGTATTCTAAGATTTTTTTCAGATACGAACAAAATTCACGAGTGGTCCAGACCTGTCGTATATTTTACCAGCAGTCAGTCTGTTGTTATCCAGACGGTTTTTCCTCCCTAATAACTTTATATTTTGTTAGTTTGAAGATATTTTGAGTTGAAAATAAATCACACTCCATAATTATCTTGACAATATGATATTCTGCTTGAATTAGAATTATAATTTTAAATGTAATAATTTGGACTAACAATACTGTTTTCTGTCGCTTATCCGGGATCGGGTCTCGGTGGCAGCAGCAGAGAGACCCAGACTTCCCTCTCCCCAGCGACACCTTCCAGCTCGTCCTGGGGGACTCCGAGATGTTCCCAGGCCAGAGGGGATACACAATCCCTCCAGCAAGTCCTGGGTGTTCTCCAAAGTGCCAGACTTATTTTGAAAACATTTTAAAATGCTTATTTCAGAACTGCAACTGAGACCACTTTCGACCGCATGCGGGGGGGACGGTGCGCAGCGCTGCGGCTTCTGAATAAATGAAAATGATTTAACACAGTTGTTTATACTTTTAGCAGCTCTTTTTATTCCACAGCTGACCTGCTAAAAATGACAGATTTTCTTTTCTGGATCTCTGACAGACGGACTTCAATCTCTGAACTCGTAAAGTTTTTCTTTTTAATTTTCACTGTCRTTTTCATGAATGGACACTTCCTTGTATCTGAAGCAGGAATCATAGCCTTATATGGTGTTTTTGGGGTGGTAATTATGTTAATCTCCTCTCGCGTGCACGAGCAGCTGGATACAAACAGGTGGAATTTAYGCAGCTCATTTACACACTTTTCCTGAAGATAGAAGAGTTTGTTGAATCTGACGTGACATGTTTGTACGAACCCTTTGTACGAACAAAAGTAAGAGAAATTTAGGATAAGAATACAAACATGTCCTTGCATGAGGCCCATTGTTTTTATACGGTGTTGTGTTTTTGTTGAGTGTGTGACTTACTCTTGGCATCCTCCAATGATCCCAACACGCCCGTCTTGTCCCTTGTGCTTCTTGGACGTAAGCGGAGGAACGATGCTCTTTACTAGTGAGAAGATGTCATCGTCCATGCCTCTGTGGGACGAAGAGCCCAAACTACAGTAGCGCTCGAACACTAAGGAAACAAACAACATGAAAGTTTTAAACTACATTAAAAACAATTAAACGTGACTTAATTAGTGTCAATCCATTCTTTTTTTCAATAAGCTAAGAGTCAAATCAGGATCAGGTAGACACTACAGCCGCCTCGTGTTTAATTTTCTCTTTACACGTTCCACCTCCACAACACCTGAGCTAATACCTAATGAATCTGCGCTCAAACAGTCTTTCTGGGGCGAGGCGCGTCCACACATGTGCGACGGCGGCGAGACGCCGGTGATGACCGGAGCGCGGGTCGGAGGATGGGCCGCCTTGCCGGCGGAGCCAGGTCGGGCCGAGCTGATGCTGGAGAACATCTGGGCGAGCATCTGGAGCATGTGCAGCTCCCGGGCGTGCTCCGTCTCCCGGCGGCGGTCCTCCGCCTGCAGGCGCTGCTCCTCCACGCGGTAGAAGTTCTCCTCGGCTTGGGCGCTCTGCTCCAGGAACTGCTCCATCAGTTTCTCCATGGGGAAGTTGGAGCGCCGCTTCCTGGGTCGTTTCGGCGTTCTCGCTGACAGATTACTGGCTGACTGGCTGCTGTTGTGTGGTCTTGATGTAGCGYCTAAAGGAGAAATGGTACTTTAAAACCTTTTCAAACACATAATGACTCCAACAGCAGAAGAGTGTAAAATAATAAAAAAAGAGAAAGAAAATGACTTACTGTTGTTGCCAACTGTGACTTTAAGTGGGATAGGGATGGGGACAGTCGGATATTCCAGCTTGACTTCAGTCTCAGCAGGATAGGGACACTCTCCTGAGCTTTCCACATCCTGAACATCCTCTCCATCCTCCTCCAGGCCGTCCCCGGCCTCCTCACCTCCCGCCCCGCTCTCCATCATCAACTCCTGCGCGTCCAGAGGCGGCCGGTTGCTCAGAATACTCTCCATGACGTCATAGAACTTGCAGATCTTGTGATACTGCCCGTTGTTCCTCAGGTTACCCTCCTTGGCCAGCAGGTACTGCCTTTTGAGGCTTTTGATCCTCACCCGGCACTGCTCCGGCGTCCTCTCGAAGCCCATGGCTCCCAGCCTGCGGGCAACGTCGCGGTACACGAAGCTGTTCCGGAAGTTTCCGTCCAGCGCCGTCTGGATGTCCTGCTCCCCCCAGATGTTCAGCAAGGTCCGCGTCTCCACGTCCGACCACAGGAAGCCCCGTGTTGTATTGGCTAGCATGCTGGCTGAACCGAACCGGATTAGTCCCCCGAACTGAGGAGTTGAATGTTGCAAAATAAAGGTCTGGTCCAGATCTGCATCAAAGCGGCGGGATGCAGCTAACCCACACAACGTCCTGTGGCCATTTTGATACTAGCTTACGGGAAGTCCTTGAAGTGGTTTCAAATTTAGCTTTGAACTTTGGGTTCATAACAAAAGCGTGTAAATAAGCAAACTGTGTGTGTGTGTGCTAGCCAAACCTTAGCAGCTTATGTTTATCCCCTTACGTCGTAATAAAATGGCGTAGTTTGTTGTTATTATTATGGATAAACTGAGTAGGGGTCAGCTTCCGGAGCTCTTATCTCAACCTTTGCTTTCATTGAGCGTTTTTCCAAACTGACCTCTGATCAGTCCTCTGAGGTTAATTTTTACCGCCCGCCCCGTCGCTGAGGTGTCCGCCMGGTCCTAAAGCCCGCGGACTCCACAGCCATGCTCCATTTAAAAGAGCTAACCTTGTATCCGAAACACAGCGGTGGTGATCAAATTAAATTAAAATTTCAAAAGTTTCCCTTCATGTTACCTTTCTCGTTCAAAAAGATGAACATGGCGAGAATCGACAGCGCAAATGCGATCAACGAAAACGACAGCGGTGTCTGAATCTGCTGCTGAGGCATCGTTGTTCTGTAGTAAAACTGCTGCCATCGACACTCAGAGCTTCTCCACGCCTGGAAGACCCCCACCCTGCTCGGCCAACTCCTTCTTACCTAAACGGGAACTGCGTTTCAACGCCAAAAAGCGCACAAAAATGCTTCTGGTCATGAGGCGTTCTGACTCTGACCCACTGGAGTCAGGAACTGCAGGAGAAAACTATGGTGGTGCGTTCAAACGCTCCTCGGACAATCCGGTGTCAAAACAAACGCTACTGTCGAACCGGAAGTGTTACGTTTCTGACCAGCAGCCTTTATTTACAGTATTACATTATT